AAGATCCTAAAAGTTTCAGTCAAAAAAATAGATCACATATGAATCAGAATGGCTTCAAACTTTTCAAGAGTAACTTTAGAAGACAGAAGATAAGGGCACAATGTCCCCAAAAGTCCCAGGAAACATTATTTACAACCCAGAATTCTGTATGCAGTCAAAAATACCAATTAAGTATGAAGTTAGACACTTTTAGACAGACAATGTCTCAAAAATTTACCTCCCAAAGTTTCTTTCTTAGGAAGCTAGAGGAGATTCTCCACCAATGGGAGAAAAAAACAAGAAAGAACAAGAAATCTAAGAAACAGGGTTTCAAGTCAAGAGAAAAGCGAAAGGAATCCCCAGAATAATAAAGGGAGATATCCAGTTGGACACCAGAAGTAGTTTCACCAGTCAGAATGGAGCAAGACAGAATCCTCCAAGAAAGTTATTTCCAAGAAAAGAAAATTTATCAAACATTAAGTTTGAATAATGTAAGAAGCAATTTAGACAAGGGATAGTTTGAAGATGAATTAGTGATGAGCACATTAAAAAAAATAAGCATAATGTGTTAAAAAACAAAATTACAATGGCAAATGTACAACACATTTAATCCCAAGGAAAACAAGAAGCTGTATGAGAAAGGAAAAAACATACTACATGACTCAACTGTGACCAGTTACAATGACGTAAATCCTGGACACTGATCTAATCAAAATCATAAAACATACAGGAAGCACAAAAGGGGGTCAAGTCTGGGAGGAAAATATAGTTCAGTGTGGAGCACGGTAAGTTTGAGGCACAGTGTATTATCTAAGTGATGACAACTAGCAGGTGATTAGAGATGCAGGACCCAAGCACACAAGAGAAATGAGGGCTGGAGGTAACACTGCTGAAAGTCACTCACTGAAAAGATGAGAGTTCAAGCCATGGGACTGATGAACTGGGATGGAAGAAAGGTAACGAAACTGGTATTCAAGGTTAGATGCTTGAGGAACAGCTATATTTAAGTGGCTAGGTAGAAAAGATAAAGAAGGGGTTAGAGAGATAAAAGGAAAAAGTAGAAAACACTGATGTCAGAAGAGGAGTTTCAAAAAGTAAATATAGGTGGTTGATGAGGGAAGAAGAGCTGAATACTGGTAATACAACAAAAAGAGTAAGTCTTGGATAAAGAAAAATATCAGATTTCACACTAATCCAAAGAGCATTAACCTTTACAACAAAAAGAACAGAGACTGAAAATAAAACTAGATTTTACATGCTTCAAAGGACTACAAGAAAGATGGGACCAGGCTTAACAAGTTTTAAATATTGAGGGAATAGTCAGGAAATGGAGGCAAGTACAGGTGGCTTAAGAAGTCTAGCAATAAAGGGAAAAACAGAATGACTATTTCAGAGGATAACATAATCCATGGAGAATCAAAGGTTTTTCACTTTTTGGTTTTAGAAAGGCCCAAGAACATGTGTAGGCTGTGGGAAAGGATCCCAAAGAGAAGAAAAGCAAAAGATACAAAAAGAAAGAAAAAATAATCAGTGAAGCAAAGTGTGCAGGGGAAGAAGAAAAAAAGGAACAGTGGGCATAAGTAGAGAACTTTATGGGAACTGAGATGAGAAAATAGAAAGGAAATTGGGATTTTTATGGCAATTTTTGAGGAGACTTACAGAAGAGAACTCTTAATGGGTGGTGTCAACCCTCTGAATAAGTAGGTATGAGGTAAGGTAATCTCCAGAGAATGAAACGGATTCAGTGACAAGATTGGCAGCTTAAGAACAACAGCATAAGTCTGGAATTGGAACTATGATGAATACAGCAAATCAATTAGGAATGAACGGACCATAACTTGGCAGCAAGGAAAGCCAGTTGAACTGCACACCTTAAATTTATAAAATGGATAAACAGTCTGGTTTCACAAATGTCTTGAACATTAAGCAACCTAATAATAATGGAATAATGCTAAGGAAAATGGAATTTTGCCAGAACTTGGAATTAGCAACAGTTGTAAGATGGAAAAACTTGACTTCAGATATAAAATGCCTTCTTCTGAAGTCATTCACTTAATAGAAAAGAAGAAATAATAGTTTCATATAACTGAAAGATTGTCTCATAAAAGGGTTGTCTTAACCCGTCCAAGGGTATTCTGAAAAGCCTCCTCTGATATGGATTGTCCCAAAGGAAGAGAAGGTTATTTAGTATTTGCAGATAACATGTCATAGAAGTCAAAATCTGTTTACCTGAATATTCTACCTAAGAATGCTCCCAACATCTACTAACAGCTAGAAAATTCTTTAAAGTAGAATTCTACCCAGAAAGGATTACTAGATGCCCTGAAGTAATTTATACAAAAACAAGTTATCTTCAGTCAGCAAAGAGAAATCAAAGATTCAACCAGAGGATCAGCATCAGAGATTTCACCTTCCTGTAACTGAGGAGTTACCTATCAACATTAACAAATCACCTTCTCTAGTGATTCTAACAAACAAAATAGTGCCTGGGAGGGTTCAAGTATTTCCCTGGAAAAAATATATGTCAAGAAAATTTATTGAGGGGTGCCTGGGTGGCTCAGTCGTTAAGCATCTGCCTTCGGCTCAGGTCATGATCCCAGGATCCTGGGATCGAGCTCCACATTGGGCTCCCTGCTTCACAGGAAGCCTGCTTCTCCCTCTCCCACTCCCCATTTGTGTTCCTGCTCTCCCTCTCTGTCAAATAAATAAATATTAAAAAAAAAAAATTTATTGAGTGCATGTTTTGAGAAGAATTCTGTAGTATGAACTTGAGAGTACAAGAAGATGCAAGGTCTCTGCAGATCATAAATCTATATTCAATCTTATCAAAGAAAAGAAGACATGAAAATGACTGAACTGAACAGCACATTCACAAGTGGAAATGAGAAGATAAACTGAACAGTTTCTACCAATATATAGAGATATAGATAGAAGGAGGGATGTATTCAGAACCAGAGAGATGGATGTGGTAAGAGAACACTTTCTGAAGAAGGCTTTGCATAAAGGTTTGAGGGTCATTAAAAAATATGGGCAAGCAAATTGGAGGCCAAAAATCCCAATAAAGACTAATGAAGTATACAGGAACAGTAGCTGACAAATTATCTTGCCTAGAATAAACAGTACTAAGGGGGCTAGAAGAAACAAACCGGACAGGAACTGAGGGGTAGCAGAATGATGGAAGGTAAAGAGCCTTACAGCTGTACCTGATGAGCCTGGGTTTATCACAATTTATAATGTGGTACTTTTGCGTCCCAGCTGAAAGTGGCAAGATGAAAACAGAGGTAGAGAGTTATTCTAGCAGTTCTGTACCAGGATTAGGAGAGATGAAGAACACATCTTAGAAAGCTGCTATCAAACATAAGGATATGACAGCATGAACCACAGTAAATACTATGGAATGGGAGGGGAAAAGGTAGACCGAAAGACTAGGTCAAAGATGGATTAGACTTAAGACCAAAGAAAGAAAGGAGAATCAATGAAGAGGAGACTAGAATGATGGTAGAGAAAGGAATAATAAAGAAAGTAGGATTAGGATTTTATTTGAGAAGGTGAAAATTTAAAGAATTTAGTTTTTTTAGGACTATAAATTTCAGGCGCCTGAATATACTTTATTCCCTAGTTCTGAGTTTTTCCTGCATCATCAGGAGAAACAGGAAAATATAAAATAAATGGAAGAATAAAGAATAAATAAAAGCAGGGCCTTTAAAATTTGACCCCACAAATCTCAAAATTTTATGGAGCCATAAATACATGCTTAAAAATTAAGAATTCAAACCATATGAACTTTAAAGCATAAGGCAGTAAACCATTCATAAACAATCATTATAACAAGCAATTACAGTTATATTAAATATGCTCCTGGAAGTTGAAAGAAAAAGCTCTTCCTGTAGAAATGAGAAACCTATTTCTATAACCACATCATAAAACCACAAAATTACAACCAATTTAAATAAACAAAAGTGTACCTTTAATGTTCCATCAGCTGAACAACTAGCCAAAAGCTTATCATCTGGTGAAAATCTGCAGTGATTGACTGAATTTGTGTGGCCAAACATGGTATTTCGACATTCTTTTTGATTCAAATCCCAGAGCTATTTGAGAAAGATAAAAAGATAACTAAAAAACTAGTACTGAATACGGAAAAGTTAGAAATCTCATAACATTCTTCCTTCACTCCATTTAAGCTTTTTCAATTACAGAAAAATGTTCAATCATATTAATGAAAAGGTGTCAAACACAAAGGGGAACTTGTGATTACCAAGTCATGGGGCAGCCCTTAGATCAACACCTAATCTATTAAGGGACAAAAAGCTTACCTAGGCTTTTAGTCTGAGCACTAAGTAACTAAATACTGCTTATTTTAACAAAGTAGTTTGGAATCATTATCATTTTATTCAGCTCTCCAATAAGTAAATGCTCCCAAATTTTTTAGATGCTAGGTTACCCAGTCATTTCTAAGATTTCCCAATGCAAATCTTGAGTCTAGTTACTAAGCTAAAAATCTATTAATGCTCTAAAAAGTGACTTGAAAAATACAAAGATAGCAAAGATAGATATAAATACATTTGACAGGAAATATAAGAGGCTTGAAGAGCAAGCTAACACCTCTAGGAAGCAACTAACCAAATCCAGAATCCACAGGACAAATGACTCAATTTCTCTAAGGAATCAAAAGAGACAGAGGGGAAGGAGAACTTCTCCAGAATAAAAGACATTTAAGAGACGTAACAACCAAATGTCACCTGAAATTTGTATTCTGTTTCCAACAAATCTATGGTAGAAAGATATGGTTTTTTGGGGGGCGCCTAGGGGCTCAGTTGTTTAAGCGTCTGCCTTTGGCTCATGTCATGATCCCAGGGTCCTGGGATTGAGCCCCACCATCATGCTCCCTGATCAGTGGGGAGACTGCTTCTCTCTCGCACTCTGCCCTGCCCCCTGCTTGTGCTCTCTCGCATGCTCTCTCAAATAAGTAAAATAAAAAATCTTAAAAAAAAAAAAGATATGTTTTTTTAAGAATGATGGGGAAGGGGAGCCTGGCTAAGTCAGTCAGAGGAGTGTGTGACTCTTGTTCTTGGGGTCGCAAGTTCAAGCCCCATGTTAGGTATAGAGATTACTAAAAATAAATAAACTTAAAAAAAAGAAAAATGGGGAAAAGTGAACATGGACCAGATAGATCACAAAACTATTATTTATTATGTTAGGTGTGATAATGGCATGGTACTTAGGTTTAAGACCTCAAATATGCAAGCTGAAGTATTTTGGGCGCAATGACATGATATCTGCGATTTGTCCCAACATGCTCCAGCCAAAAAAAAAAAAAAAAAAGGGAGGGGGAGAATAAAATAAGATTGGCAAAATATTAATAATAGTGAGAGCTAGACAATGGATACCACAAGGGTTTATTATTGTACTCTCTCCTTTTGGGTATGTTTGAAAAGTGAATAAAATATAAATAAAAAGGGCTATAGTCCTCTCTGGGGATTTATGCTAACTATATTAAACACGGAAGGAGAAATCATCCATCCCCAAAATTAATACTGACAAAAATCCTTTGGAAATGACCAGTGAGGTAAGTCCTATTCTTCATGTCCATCTCCATCTTCGACTTCTTTATCCTAGTCCTAGGTAAATTCAGTTTTTCAGATAAGGCAAGTCACATGGGGGCAACTTCAGATTTTCGTATTTTCATTGCCTTCTCTCAGTTCAAGAGTCACAAGAAGTGAATTCTAATTGTCCACATGGTAATACAGGTGTGGTATGGCAGATTTTAAAGTAAAACTTGTCCTCAATTAAAACTGTTGACTAAACAATAGAACCCATAGATCTCTCTTTGGTCTTATATCCTAAAGCTTTTTGTCTATAATTAAAATGAGGAAACATAAACTTCTTCACCCTACAAAATGTTAAAAAGAAACATCAAAAATTAATCATAAAATAATACAGAAGTCTTAGTTTTTTAGAGGTGGATTTATTCAATAAGGTAAAGCATATCTGAGTAAAAATGAGCTATGATTATAAGACTACATTAGTCTGTTATTTTAATCCAATCCAGTGTTTTCAAATTGTGCTATGCAGGCCCCTAAGGATTCCAAAACATGTCTGAAAGGGACTACTGGGGGAAATAAGAGAGGGAACAAGAGTAGAAAAGCAAGCTCAAGGGCGCCTGGGTGGCTCAGTCAGTTAAGTGTCTGACATCCGCTAAGGTCATGATCTCAGGGTCCTGGGACAGAACCCCACATTGGGCTCCTCACTCAGCAGCTGAGCTTCTCCCTCTTCCTCTGTCTTCCCTCCCACCCCCGCTCAAGCGCGCGCACCCACACACACTCTCTCTTTCAAATAAATAAATAACGTCTTTAAAAAAAAAAAAAAAAAATGCAAGACCACACCCCACTTAAACCAGAGCAATGGGCTTTGTCTGTTACACACTGAGCTTCTATGTAAGTTTTCTTTTGGAGGGGAAAAAAAAAAAAGATAAAGTTTCAGCTTCTTGAACTGAAGGGGAGAGGGGAGACAATTTTCAATATTTTCTGAAGTTTTTAAAAATACTGTATTAAAAAAAAATACTGTATTTAAATGTCAAACACAGAGTCTATGAGGTTTTCCAAACTGAAATGGTTTGCCCAAACCTCCCAAAAATATAATGTCCCTTTGCAAAGATGGTGTGACATTAAAAAAGACAGGGTAGAAACCAAACCAAAAAACAATCCAAAGGAAGTTAGTGAATCTTTCTGGACCCCCAGAAAATTTAATCTAGCTATCTTCAATATGCCATTTAAGAGGAAAAAAAGATAAAATCTTTTATAATTTGTAACTATAAAGCATTATCAAATATATATAAAATGCACATCTGCTTTCAGTTTCTTTTTTTTTCTATCAGCACCTTTTTTCCTTCCTCCTTCTAATAACAACCTCTCTTCTGAATCAAGCCCCACTTATAATTCAAATAGAGCTGACCTCACTTCATTTGTCCCATTTCTACATGGCTGAACTTGTAATCTTTAACCAATTCAAGGATTCCATATCCTATTGGACCACTAGGGTTATTTAACAATGAGCATATAAGCCAAACCAGGTCAAATAGTCTTCTTTAAAATTAAATCTATGGGGCCTGGGAAAGAGTAAGTTTCTCTTCCTCTGTGACTATAAGCTATAAGACCCACGTAAGCCTGTAACTGAGAACTGCCATATTTCCTGCCACACAGAAAGAACACGCCTGAACCAACAAAGAGAGAAACAAAATCTAAAAATGGAGGGGGGATTAAACTCCAAGAATGTAATTTAAGCATCTGGAATCAGTTATGCCTAAAGCCATGCTCCCTTTAGACTTTTCAGTTACATGAACCAGTAATTTCTTTTTTTTTGTTTTTTTTTGGCTTAGCTAGTATGGAAGTTCCTATCACTGCAACCAAAAGAGCCCTGAACAATACAAGAGAAAATCAAAAAAGATGTTCTGATGCACCTATCAAATTTGTGCACGTAATTCTCATTATCCACACTTACTTTGAGGAAGCAGTCACTTGACGCAGTGGCTAAGAGAAGGTAATGACTGTTGTTGGTAAAGTGGCAGCAGTTGACTTGCTCTGAGTGCTCATCATAGATATGTACTAGTTCCCCCGTCAGAGAATTCCAGATCTAAAGAGAATAGAGAAAATAAAATTTACAACTACCCCTTACTTTCAAAGGGAGAACAGAAGAGCAAACAAATGTGAGCTGTTTTGTGGCAGATTTTCCCAGTCAGACATAATACCCCCCTTCTCTAAAACATGTCTGTATTTTTCCAGGATGTCTTTTTAAAAATTACAAGTCTACACGTGTGCCTTTCTATAGCACAATTAGAATCCCATGAAAACATTACATTCTTCAAGGGCAAGACTGCACATGTTCACATGAATGACAGTAGGCAGAGAAGTGCTATAAAAGGAATGGAATAATGGACTTTAGATCAGAAGGATTAAGTCCAAGACCTGGCTCTACCATTTATAATTTGTGTGTCCATCATCAAGTCTTTAATTTATCTGCATCATAGTTCCCTCCTCTGTAAAATGAGGATACTTATACCTGCCCTGTGTACACAATTCAAATGAGATAAAGGACATGTGCTGCTGACTTCAAGGTATCAATAAAAAGTAAAGGCAGATGGATCAGTGAAAAAAATTAAGGCTTTAGATTCTGAGGGAAACCTAGCTTTGAACCCTGGCTCCATTAGTTATCCGTTAATGTGAGCTTGGGCAAATGACTTCATCTCTGTACCTATTTTCTCATCTGCAAAATGGGATCAATACTTACTCTGCAAGTTGTAGTGAGAAATTGATAATGTAATATAACAAAGTGTGTAGTATAAAGCCTCACAGTGTTAAATTCCCAAGCAGAAGTAATCATCATTCTAGTTACTATGTAAGACAACAAAGCAATGTGTTCTAACAATAAACAAAAGAAATAAATTACCTAGTCTTCACTGGGCTCTGAACTTTTTAGAGGTATTAATGTCCCTCTCATAGCATTTTCTTTTTTTTTTTTAATTTTTAAGTAAGCTCTATTCCCATTATGGGGCTCAAACTCATGACCCCAAGATGAAGCGTCATATGCTCTACCATCTGAGCCAGCCAGGTGCCCCGCATTTTTTGTCTTATCAAAGCACTCACCAGAGGTCCAAAGAGTTTAAGTTCTTTAATAGACATTTGTTCTATATTTTGAGTACTTAGAAAACAGAAACTCAGAGTTATCTCCTTTTATTCCACATAGCTCTTGACTTTGGAACTGTGCAAGACTGGTGAACTCCAAGCCTGACTCAGTAGTGGCTATGGAGTTAATTAACTGGTTGGTTGTAAAGCCACCTAGACAGTCCAATCTATCAAGAAGTAGACTCTTCCAAGGTCTTACTTTGTCTGGACACTCCAAAGTCTTCTTCAAGTGAGTGCAGACCCCAGGAAACTTCCAAGCCAATTTTCTTGCTCCCAGGTCCACTAAGACCCACCCCATCTAGCCAGTTTCAACAGTCCGTCTGTCCGTCCTTCCTTCCTTTCTTCCTCCCTCCCTCTTTCCTTTCTCCCTTTCTTCCCCTCTCCCTTTCTTTCTTCCCCTCCCTTTCTTTCTTTCCCTCTCCCTCTCTTTCTTCCCCTCTCCCTCTCTTTCTTCCCCTCTCCCTCTCTTTCTTCCCCTCTCCCTCTCCTCTCTATTTATCTATCTACCTACCTACCTACCTATCTACCTATCTATTTATTTGCAGTACTCCCACCAAGTCAGGATCCATCTCTTTTTAAAAAGCCTGAAGCGAGAGGCACCTGGCTGGTTCAGTCGGTTGGGCATCCAACTCTTTGATTTCGGCTCAAGTTATGGTCCCAGGGTCATGAGATTGAGGCCCGTGTCCTCACCCAGTGTGGAGCCTGCTTGGGATTCTCTGTCTCCCTTTCCTTTCTCCCCGCCACCCCGCTCCCACATGTGCACACTCTCTTAAAAAAAAAAAAAAAAAAGCCTGAAGTGAGGTGTTTGGGGTGCCTGAGTGGCTCAGTTGGTTAAGCGTCCAACTCTTGATTTCAGCTCAGGATCGTGAGATGAACACGGCGGCATCAGGCTCCACACTGTGTGAAGCCTGCTTAAGATTCTCTCTCTCCCTCTGCCCCTCCCCCGCCCAACCCTCCCCACTCCGCACTCCCTCTCTAAAAGAAAAAAATCTGGGTTGCACACTTCACAAATTATGTATTTTACAACAGGAATCCAATCTCAGTAATTTTGTGCAGCAACACTTCCAATCACATTGCCCTCAAAGATTCCAACTGATATTTTATCACACAGACTTATCAATAATAAACAGAAGGCAAATTCATTAATTTGTAATTGTTTCTCCCAGCTGTCTGGTAAATATCTCAGGCTGAGAAACCTAGGCATTTTTGCTGGTGCTTAAAAATAGACAGTGTTAATTTGCAAGTGGATAAAAACTGGTTTGCCTCAAGTCTGTAGATTAACAGGCAAGAGTCCTTTACCCCTACTTACCCTAGTCCCTCCACTATGGAAAAAGAAAATGAATTCTATGGTAATTACAACTCAAGAGAAAAATATTTCCCTACCTTCACTTTTTTATCCACTGAGCAGGTTGCTATTAATCTGTCATCTGCAGAGAATGTACAACAAAGCACTTCATCCTCATGAGCCTTGATTTCTAGCAGTTTCTCTCCTGTTTCAGCTTTGAACACCTGCACAAGCAACAATAAAATCTTTTTACCATAAACCAATGGCCACCGTTCAATAAAAATCTTTCTTTAAAAGACTTTAATCCACAGTATTTTGCAATAGTAATGAACCTTGGCAAAACCACTCTAAAAAGCAGAATATCTGTCAGAGTTTATATGTCTTAACATAGAGAACTATCCCTTATTAAATGACTGTAATATCAATAAAAAGAGCCTGCAGAGTATAGCTTCAGTTCTTGAGATTAATTTGGCAAATTCTTTTTTTCTTCTTCTTTTTTTTTTTTTTTAGTTTGGCAAATTCTTAAACAGAAAACATTTCATTCAATATGTTTTCTTTCTGGGGCTCAAAACCCAAAATTAATAAAATTAGTAATAAAGCACACATATAAAAATAAAGTTTACAGTCATAATTTTGCAAAGACTAAACCTAATCTAAATATCAGTTTTAACTAATGTGATCCCGTTTCCTTCAAAATCAAAAAGCAGAGCACAAATTTAAAGAAAAGCACTCATTCATGTATCCCAAAAACAAATGAGAACTTAAATTCCTTCAAGCACCTTAGGAAATAATCTAGTCTGATTCCTGTTTACAGTCAGAATCTGTGTCTGAACCTGTGATAAGGTAGGTATTTTACCTAATCACTGTTTTTTAATCAGAGCCCTGTGCACTGTGATATGGAGTCCTTATGTCTTTTAACAATTTGCATTTCCTCATTACTCTTAGAGGGCTCATGGATGACAGTAACGGATTTGCTAGGGTAAAAGGTACTTTTATGTCACTTGGCAACTTTAAAATTATGAAAAAACACAACCATATCTTCTAAATTTCCAGAGACAGCTTTTATAAAATGTTCAAGAGATTTGGATTTCTCTAATGCTAATGTGCAATTTTCTTCAATTCTAGGATTTAAATATATTCTAATATGTACAGTATTCGGTACATGCCTCTTTCAATTTTTCTCAAGAGATATGTTTTACCTGTAGGGTTTTATCAACTCCACAAGAAGCTATTCTTTGACCATCCTCAGAAAAGCAAGCATGGTAAACAGCATCTGTATGGGGGCGGACAACTAAGCGGGAAAGATTCTTGATGTTTTTTTTGTTTCTACATACAAGGAGAAAATGAACAGAAACCCAGTAAGTAATTTTTTTTTCAGTAATAAACTGTCTGTTAACATTGTTGTGTTGCCAAAATACAAAATTCTTAAAATTAAGTTACCAGCATGTAAATGACAGCATGGATCTCCTGAAGGAAAAAGTATTACGGAAGTGGCTTTTTAAGAGAAATGCTACCCTATATAAAGCAACCGGTCAGGTGCTGCAAATGGCAGAGTTGGGAGATATCTAATTAATCAAACACATGTTGCTTTCTATTTTCCTTTGATATATTAATGATAACATATGCAGAGAAATCATTATGTAAGGATACCCTCAAAAAAATCTCCATTGTTTTTAAAGGGAAAGAAGCCAGGGCACCTGAGTGGCTCAATCAGTTAAGCAACCCGACCCTTGACTTCAGCTCAGGTCATGATCTCAGGGTTGTGAGACTGAACCCAGCATAGGGCTCCATGCTGGCCATGGAGTCTGCTTGAGATTCTCTCTCTCCTTCTGCCCCTCCTCTCTCTCTCTAAAAAAATTAAAAATTTTAAAAAATAAATAAAAGGAAAGAAGCCATAGCAAAATGAAGCTCATTTCCTAACTAAAGTATGACACTACACCCACCATTAACAATGATGTACTTTATTTTTTTTTAAGATATTATTTATTTGCTCAGGTCATGATCCTGGAGTCCCAGGATCGAGTCCCGCATCGGGCTCCCTGCTCAGCAGGGAGTCTGCTTCTCCCTCTGACCCTCCCC